TCGGTGCGCGATCCACGCCGATGAAGCGGAACTCTGCGATGACGTCGGCGTGTCCGCGGCGCGCCGGACAGTTGCCGCGCGGGTGTCTGCGCTCTGCAAGAGTTGCAGGTGGCGCGCTTGACGTAAGATGTGGCGGCGCAGCAGGCGTGCCACCCGCGCGCCGTGCTGGAAGGCGTCGAAGCAGATCGGGCACCCCCTGTCGTCGCCGCTGAACGTCGTTACTGATGGTGGCGGAGTAGTCGGCGCAGCAACTGGCACAGAAGGAGGATTAACAAGTGTTTCCGTTCAGCTCTGTGCGGCCTGGCGTCGTTGCTCATCTTGCTGGCGTGCGAGCTCGAGCGCCAGCGGTGTGCTGTGGAGCTCGTCGATGTGCCGTTGTTGTGCGTGGTCGAGGGTGGCGCGCGGGTTGCGCTCGGATCGGCCGCCGCCGGACTTCCAAGTATCGCGGCTGGCGAATCGCGCGGCCGCGCCCCCGGGCGGTTGGCTCGCGTCGACGGGGCTCTTCTGATTGAGTAGAAGCATTGTCTTTGGGCGGCTCCGGCACTGGCGGCGACGCAGCTGCAGGTGCGGGCCCTGGCGGCCACGTGGAGCTCGATCCAAGTGGCGTGCTGATGCCGAGGGCTGAAGCCGAAGGCATGTCAGCCCAACTCGGCAACCGCGCGTCGGCAGACTAGGTCGGGAGTGCGGCGTCGCGTGCGTTGAGGTCGCCTATCCAGTCGCGCCCCTTGGTTTGTCCCTGTGGGAATGCGCCGCCCACTTGTGTCCACCGCTGTGGTGTTGTTGGTGGTGGTGGTGCCGCTGAGGCTGCTGGAGCTGCTGGTTCTGCTAGTGCTGCTGGTGCTCCTGAGACTGGCGCAGCTGGCGGTGCCTCCCCCGCTGCCGCTGGGCGGCCCGGCGACGCAGTCGCCGGGGCCGTCGGTGCTGCAGAGGCCTGCGCGCCGAAATTTTACTTCGCGTGTCGAGGGCGAGGCCCCGGCATGGACCGCTGCTCGGTCGGCCTCGGCGGCCCCTGCTGCCCCGGGCCAGCAAGTGGTGGGGATGATGTGATGGTGGTGCTGGGGCATCGGCGCCAAGGAAAAGGGGGCGCGCCCTGGCTGGCGGCGCTGGGGGCAGTCGCGCGCGAGGTGCATCTCGGCGCCCGGTCAGGCCCCGCGGGGTTGCCATGGCGACCCGAACTCATGCTCGAGTCCCTGAACTTCCCTTCTCCATCACCACTGCCCTTCCCGAACCCGCGATGGTCTCCGAGAAGTCTCTCTCGGGCCAGGTGGCTGGGGCAGCCCGGTACCCTTTTCCTTTGCTCTTGCCCCTCCGTTCGATGACTCTCCGGGCGTGGCGCGCGGGCCTGTGGTTGTTGAAGCAGCGCCGGCGTGCCTTGGCGCGCTCGCAGGCCCGGAAGAGGTGCGCGCCCCCGTCGTTCCACGGGAATGTCGCGCAGCTCGGGGCCGTCGGCGGCTATGTCCTCGTCGAGTGCGCTAGCGGTGTCGGCGTCTGGGTCGATCTCTGCTGCTGGGCGTGCCCCCTGTGCCCGTGGTGTCGCGCTAGAGGCGCGGGCCCCAGACGCGGCCTCGGCTGGTGCAGAGGTGCTTGGTGCCGATCTCAATGCAGCAGGGCCCGCGCCGCCCCAGCTTTGCTCCTGCGTGGGCGCGCCCGCGAGGAGCGTGCGCTGTTGGGCAGAGTGGGCCGCCGAGGCGAGGTGGTCTGGCGATCCCTCTATCGTGTGCCCAGCGCGTCTCTGGCGGCCCGTCATCTGGGTGAGCTGCTGAACTTTCGCGGGGCGGGCCGTGCCGCGGTGCTACGGGGGCGCGGTGAGTAGAGTGTTCGACGCACCAGCGGCGCGCAGCAGGAGGGCGCTGGGCCCCTCGTAACCGATCATGAGATGACCAGCGCGCTGCGCCCGGTTGCGGAAGGTGTCGAACCTCATTCGGAGCTTGTCGATGCGCTTCTGCGGCGGCCGGCTGAAGATCATCGGAGTCGATGCTGTCGAGGTGCGCTGGCCCCATCGTTCGGCCAAGCTGTGCGTTGGGGAGGTCAGCGGCGGCGCTGGGTCGCTGTTGAGGAGACCTCCTTGCGCCGGGACGGCTGGCGGCCATTCGTCCACGTGCTCGCGTGCCGTGCCGGCAAAGCGGGGCGAGACGTAGGCCGCCCGGCGGAACTTGTTGAAGTCTGAGTTCGCCACTGACCAGATCCTGGAATGGTGCGCGAACGGGGTGCTCGGGCCCTCAGATCTCGAGGTGGCGCATGTTGCCGCTGCCGCAGCCTGCGTCCACGCAGGCGGTGCAGCTTGCGATCGCGGGCATACCGGCTCCGATGGCCTTCCATCCAGAGTGTAGCCCCCCCCACATGTCTTACATGTCTTAGAGGTGCTGGAGGCCGGGGATCCTCAAGCGGCGTAGCATGCGTCACCGAGGGCGCTTGCCCTGGATGCGTTCCTCCCCGTCAGCGCATTGGGCGTCTGCTTCTGGCGCGTCACTGTTGTGCTCGCTGTGATCGGAGCATCCCGCGACATAATCATGGGAATGCTCCTCGTGCGTCGTGTGGTCACTGTACTGTGCGCCGCCAGTTGCACGATCGTCTAGAAGAGTGCGCATCGGGATCTCGTCTTGCCTGGCTGGCGGGTCTGCGTAGGTAGAGCGAAGGGTCGGGTCCCGAGGTGTGGTGCCTCGGAATGGTGGCGTCCCAGTCGCCGTGCCCTCCACTGCATTACCTCGGGGGGCTGGGCACGCACTTCTCATGCTCCCTGCTGCATCCCCGTTCGGCACCAGTGACACGCTCGCCAGATGCCTCTTCTCTGCTTGCTTCGCCCAGGGCTCTCGAAACGCAGTCCCAAGAAGCTTGGGACCTTGTTCTGACGCCGCAGATGTGGACCTTGCGTCGAACAACTGCCTGATACCTGAGGCCCCCCCCGCGTACGGGGGCACTGACACTTTGGGGTCCCCAAACTGCCTGGACACAGTCCGAGCATGCCTGGGATGGGTCGCAGAGCGGTCCTTGTAGATCTTGGTGATGTACGCTGTCCTTGATGAGGTACTCGTTGCGCAAATTCTCGGTCACTAGTCCTGGCGGATGGGCGGATGCCCCGACGGATTCTCGAGTGACGTTTCTTGTCATAGTGAGCGGGGGGAGGTGCACGAAGGCGGAAGTGTTGAAGGCGATGTGCACGCTCCTGGTTGCGAGTCTTGGCGGATGGGCTGGCACAGCCCCGACGGACCCTAAAGTAACGCCTCCGGCCAGAGCGAAGGGTAGGAAGTGCACGAATCCGTGAACGTGTAAGGCGATTGTTCGAACTCGAAGGCGGCGGAAGGTTGAAGTCATTGCGGTCGACGCGAAGTGAGACATGGCGGCCGTGGTGGGAGCAGGGGTGAACCTGCTCCGCTACCAAGTAGAAGTGTAAGTGGGAAGCTGTGAAACATCTGGTCTTTCTGAAGGCAGAGTGTGGTATGTGTGAAATACCAGAAGGCGCGTCCACGGCGGGCACGGAAGCTTGGCCAGCTTCCATGCCCCCGAGCAAACACGACAGAGCCAATGGGAGACAATTACAACAAACAGTAGTGAGAAGGGACAGGTGGGCTACCGTTCGAGTGGGAGGAGGAGGAGGAGGAGGAGGAGGAGGAGGAGGAGGAGGAGGAGGAGGAGGAGGAGGAGGAGGAGGAGGATGAAGAGGAGGAAGGAAGGAGGAGGACGACGATGATGTCGATGCTGATGATGGTGCTACTGATAGCGGTGATGATGATGGTGGGGATGCTGACGATGATACGGATGATGATGCGGATGATGACAGTGACGATAATGGTGGTGATGATGAGGAAGGTGGTGATGATGCTGCTGACGATGCTCGTAAGATGATGCTGCTGCTTCGGATGATGCGGATGCTGATGCTGACGATGATGATGTGGATGGTTGTGGTGGTGGTGGTGGTGGTGGTGGTGATAGTGATGCTGATGATGGTGGGAAGGAAAAGGTGGTGGAGGTGGAGGAAGAAGAATGGGGAACGCGTTTCACGGGCGCTTGGCTGACAAGCGTCTGGAAGGAGGTTCTCCCAAACCGGGAGCCCTTCCTTTCCCGCCTCCCCCTCCCCCTAACCCCACCCCGCCCGCGCAAGGGGGGAAGGGAAGCTACGAAACTCACCCTTCCACCACGTTGCCAGGGTGTACGGCACACCCCCCTTTCCTTGCGCCAGCAAAAATCGCCGTCGTCGTCGTCGTCGTCGTCGTCGTCGTCGTCGTCGTCGCTTGTCAGCGTGATGGGGGGGTACGGCAACCTTCCCTCCCCCCGTACACCTGAGGAGATGGGGGGGTCGTCGCCCCCCTTGCCCGCTTCCCGACGGGTGGGGTCCTAGCCCCCCCCCTCCCCCTGGCGACCACAAATCGTGCCTTTCGGAGAAAGATGAGGATCCCTTGGAAGGCAGCGGCCGCGGCCGCGGCAACAAACGCGCCCGCCCGCGGCTCGGTCTCCGTCGATCTTGCGCTTGGCCCGCGCGGGACGCGAGGAGAAGAAGCGCGGGACAACCCCGCGGACGCTTGCCTGAGGGGGGTGCGGGAGGGGGATGATGGTGGTGGTGGTGGTGCTGCTGCTGCCGCCTCTACCTCTTGCTCCTCTTCTTCCTTCTTTCTCCACCTCCTCCTCCGCAATTACTCAATGTGGATGCGAACTGCTCTCCTCTCCCTGGACACCGTGCGAGCGTGGCGCCGCTTGTCCCCATCCGTCACCTGCTAGTTCTCCTTCAGTGTGCGCAGCTCAACCCATGCGCAGGATTGGACGACGAATGCGCAAGACGGAGGACGATGCCACGATCGAGCGATACGTGCCCGGTGCGGATCGGACTGCGAAGGACGTCGGGGCATGACTCTTTTATCCCTGGCTCGCGGAACTCCGCTCCGCCGAGCAAGGGAGAGACTGATACTGGAGAGGGACGGCGGCAGGAGCAAGCATGAGGAGCTGGACGACACGCAGCAGGGCGGGCAGGGCGCGGTCGAGGCCTGCCCTCCAGATATATGTAGCCCTCACCGCTCGGGCCAGCCGACAACGGCCAACCGCTTGGGCGAGGCGTCGCGGTCGCGCCCCGAGATGTCGCTGTCCTCGCGAGCGGCGAACATGTCCGTGCCCGCTCGGGCGGGTGGCAACGGGAGGTGGCCTGACCGGAGGGTGGAGGCATGGGCCCTAGATGGGGCCCTCGCAGGCCCCTGCTGGCTCCCAGAGGGCCCCTCGAGGACACTTTTCTTCACCCCCGCCTCTTTTGAATCCCCTCTTTTGAATCCCCCCTCTTTTGAATCCCCACTTTTCTTCACCTCCCTTCTTTTGAATCCCCCCCCCCCACTGCCACCCGCCCGATCCGCGCACTCGCGGCCTGGATTCCGGGGGCGCGATCCCGCGGCTACGCGTGTCGCACGGAGGCGTTCCGCGCGGCGCGCCGGGGGAAAAGACCGCCCCGCAGCCGCGGGGTCGCGGGCCAGGGGCCTGGCCCGCGAGGCCGCGGACACGGACGTGTTGTTGCAACTGCCTACCAGGCCGCCCCAAACCAACCCGCAGACCCGAATGTCGGGCTGGGGGGGGCGCGGGTTCCCGATGTGTTTCTTGCAATGTTCCCCGACCCCCCCCCCACTGGAAAGGGGTGGCAAATTGAAGCCTTCGGGTTGGGTTGGGGTGGTTTGGTGGGTGGTGATTTTCGCCCACGAGATGTCCCTGGGAGAGGTGGATCGTGACACTGACGGCGGCCTTGGCGGCGGCGTCGCCGAGAGCGACCGCTGCTCCTCGCTCGTGCCCGGGGCGCGACCGTCGCGCGCGCAGAGCTGCGTCCGGAGGCTTTCCCCGGGCTCCAGGCCCGTGCCGAAGTAGCGGTCGCCGAAGTCCCCGACGCCAGGCCTCATGCCGAGGTCTCGCCCGAGCTCTCGGTCGATCTCTGTCGTGATGACCTTCAGCGCCGGGTGGCGCTTGCAGACCCGGTGGATGCCGTCGGGCGCGGCCACCAGCGAGAGCACTATGATTTTCGCCTCGGCTACTTGCCTTTGCCTGGTTAGCAAATCAACGACCCGTAAGATGGTGTTACCAGTGGACAGGACAGGGTCCATAACCAACACGTGGCGCCCAGTTACGTCGTGTGGCAACGCATCATACGCAACCGAGCACGCGCCATCCGGCGAGCGAGTGATGAGGACCTTCCCCAACTTTACTCCTTGACAGCACGACCGCAACGCGTTCTCCATCACCTCGCCCGAGCGAATGACGGATACTGCACACAACTGGCCCTGGAACTCAATGCCCTGATAATCGACCCCAGCGGGTGTGGTCACCGTACTCACATCGACTGGCAAGAAACCCAACGCAAACTCCACCAACAGTCGGATAAGCCTGTCCGCATAAAACACGAAGTCGCCTCTGTCCGTCGAGTGGCACCGGATCTTCGTGTGCATGCCTCGTACCTGCGTCGTGCTGGGCATCACATGTAAGTTGCTGTAGATGAGGCTCAAATCATGAATCGACAACTTGGCGCGTATGTGCTCTGTGATCAAGTTCAGTGCGACCGGATTGTCGTCCACCCACGGGATGATGACGTCCGCGCGGAGCTTGCTCGGCAAGACCCATCGCTCGAACGCGGGCTTCACGAAATTGGCGTACTGGGCGAGAACGTCTTCGACGCTCCGCCCCCGCTCCAGCGTGTCGCGTTTAATGCGCCGCACCAGCCGCACGTCGTCCGCGGTGTCCACAAACAGCTTCATGCTGGCCCGCTCGAGCAGCTCGGGAAAAAACAGCGCGAAGATACCCTCGATGATGACCACGTGCGCTGGATCCACTCGCCGAGTCCTTTGGCTCCTCCTATGGCGTGTGAAGTCCCACTGTGGCACGCGGGTGCTCTGGCCTGCTCTGAGGTCGTCTAAGCATCTGGCCAGTGCCTCAATGTCGATCGCGTCTGGGCTGTCGAAGTTCACACCCTCTGCGCTGGCCGACCCCTCGCAAGTCAGTGGACGGTAGAAGTCGTCTGTGCCGACGATCACTACTCGCTGGTCACCGAGGGTCTGGACAATGCGGTGGCAGACCGTGCCCTTGCCTGCCGCCGACCCTCCAGCGATGGCGATGAAGAGCGGCGTGAAGCCTGATGCGCTCGACCTCCGCGCTGCCTGCGTGGGCTCAGCGTCCATGGCGGCCCACCGCCCGAGCAGGGCATCCCCTTGAGCCAAGCGGCCCGCTCTAGAAAGCCTTCACCCAAACACATTGGCATCTCCCCAGGGCGCAGCTTCTACTTCCGCTGGCCTCCGCCAGCCTCGGGCGTCGCTCAGTGGGGGGGGGCCGATGAATGCGGGGAGAGGCAGAGGTGCACCCTTCGGGTTCGAAAAGCCTTCTCTTCTGGTCCCTGCAAGGCCCTTTTTCTGCAACCCTCGCTGCCCTCCCACGCATCGCCCCCCCATGTTACGCGACGCCCAACAGCCTTGCGCCGCCGCCGGCGGGCCCGCCGCCGTTGTACTTCCGCCGGCCTGCCGGCCAGGGCGAGGACGTGCCGAAGGTGCGGCCCTCTCTGGAGCGCGCCGGGGCGGCAGACGGGGTGGGATGTCGGAGGCCACCCTGTCTGCCCCCCCCCCCTTCGTCCCCCGTCGTCTTCAGGTTGGACAAGTTTCGGCTTGCTTGAGTCGTCGCGTCTTGGTGGCAGCGATCCGAGAACAAAACTGTTCGGAGCGCAGCGCTCGATGAAAGAGCAGGCCCTGGCACTGCAGCAGCGCGCGTCGGCGAGAGCCAAGATATGCAAGACAGTTGGGATCCGCAGAGACTTGAGAGTATACTGCGTGCACCCCCCTCGCCTCGCCCTTCCCGTCGTCTCGCCCTGCTGCCGTCCCGACGCTCTGTTTCTCTCCAGCCAGCTCTGTCTCTCAAGGTCCCATGCCATTCTTTGAAGAAGCCGAGTGCCGGGATCGCTGGATCTGGAATCGGTCGGGCGCCTTGGTCTCCCGTGGTCCCCCGTGGAGCACTCGTAGCCGTATTCCTCTCATAGTCTTAATACTAACGTGAATTCTCGCATCCGTAACCGTACTCTTATTCGTAGTACCAGTATCGTCATGATACATTGTACGAATGATAACAACACTATTCGCATTAGCTTCATTGTTCGTACTGCCCGTACTCAAATATCTGTCTATCTATATATGTTACGTTTGTGACTGTCCGCGTAGTCCGTTGTTATGACGGTTAGTGCCGATATTCCGTCATTTCGTGCACATTGAATAATTATCTAAACAACTCGTTTGGAACAAGTATACCTCTCTATTCTTCAGCACTTACAGGTGCATCGCCCGATCAGGAATCGGTCGCATGATCTATTGTCTCCTTGGCCTCCCTATTGTCTCGTGTCCTATGGGAACCCCATTGTCTCTTGTCCTCTTGGTCTGCCAAGTGTCCCTTGTCCTCTTGGCGTCCCAACTCTCGCTAGTCAAGCATTCTCGAGGGTCTTCTGCCACAAAGGGGTCCATTTTCTAACCGTGGGTATCCCCGTTCGGCGCCAAGCTTGATGCTTGAAACTCGACTGTTGGCGTTCTTTCTGACTACGGCTGCTGTCGTAGAGTTTCTCATGATCATTCGTGATATGCGCAATCGAACGCCTCGCTGAAGTATGAGCAGGAGGAACAGTAGGAGCAGGAAAAGGGAAAAGGAGGAGGATTAACAATAATAGGGGAAAGAACGGAGGATGCCAGGCGGAGGGGTGGGGGAGGAAGAGCAGGAGCAGGAGGGTGGGAGACGGAGAGGGAGGAAACGGAGGAGCGAATAAGGAGTATGGAAGAAGAAGGCAGGAGAAGGAAGAAGGAGGAGAAGGCAGAGGAGACGATGGCAGGAGGAAGAGGAGGACAGAGACGATGGATCGAGGATGACAAGGATGAGTGGAGGACGAACACGAAAATGAGGACGAGGAGTCTGACAAGGAAGAATACGAAGACGAAACGGACCAAACAGAATAGCACGGGGAAGAAACGAGAAAACGGAATAACACAAATAAACGACCGCGACACGGGTGGCCGATTCCCCTCTGGCATCCAATCTGTCCGCAATGCGTTCCACCGTTGAATGGACTATATAGATGAAAGGCTTGTCCGGCAGAGTGCCCCACGAAGATGTGTATCGACAGCCAGGTCGCGTCTGGAGCTGGGTGGATCGACTTCAGAACGAAATTCATTACCTAGGATCCTTTCTCTTCCTTGCCACCGTGCCTTCAGCACGTAGTGGACTGCGGATGTGGATGTTGAGGGATTGAAGGGTTGTAGGATTCTCAGGACCTGGAACATCGATTTGTCAGAATTCAATCTATGCAACATCGCCCAAGGCGCTGCTGCGTGACGGCCCACCCCCAGGCAGTGCTTCCGGGAAGAAATCCGACTCGAACCGTGGGTACTCGAACTTCCCTGACAGGGCCATCAGAAAAAAATGCGGGACCTACGTAGTCTGAGACTTGGTGCGACCTTCCGCTGCAAACACCTTGCTGAGACTGGGCAGTCAAACTTCGCGACAAGATCCCCCCCGAACAGGCGGCAAACACCGGAGCTCTGGCAAGGTCGAAGTTCTGCGTTTCCCCGATGCTTGAAGGGGCCCTGGGACACACAAATCAATAGATACACATATAGGATTTCCCATATTTTCATAGATTTTCTGGGTATTTTGTGGGGGAATCGAAAATTAATTGTGCCTGTGTGCCTTTTCCCCTCCTGAATGCCCACCTCAGAGAGAAGGGCAGCGCTGGGGCCCAGGCCGCGACGCGCGACGCGTCATGTCTTGGCATCGCTGATCCGGCCCCCATCCCCGTCCCCATCCCCTTCGAGGCCCCCACCAAACTATCACCCCAGTTGGGGCCACACCCCTCGAGGCCCGAAGGGGACGGCGTCTGTATATCCCCATCTCGAGGGGGTGCATCGGCCAGTGGGGCCCAGGCCACGCCGCTGGGGATGCGGATCGGCTTCAACGATACTCATCATCGTCTTCGCGCGCCCAGGGTGACCCAGACTCTCCCCGTCGCTCGGACGTCCATTCCCTGTGCTTTTTTCGGTTTCGTGCGTGGTTTCTTCGCAGGATGATCCAGGATGCTCCTTAATAGTCCCCGCCGAGAAAAAGTGCACACGCCCGAACGATACCAAGGACTCTGGATCGCCGTCCTGCATTTACCCGCGGCCCCTGCACCCCCCTGCCCCCAGGCGCCTCGTCTGCCCCGCGCCCGGGGCCGCCTGCGAGGCCGCGCCGGCGGCCTCGGGGCGGGATGCGGCCCCCCGCCCCAGAAGACGAGGTCGGGACGAAGACGAATTCGAGCAGAAGCGTCCTGCACTGCTTCCGTATGCTCTTGCCTCCACGCCGTCAGCACGTGGTCAATTATGCTCAGAAGAGTGCCCCGCAATGGACGAAGCGTCAGCCCAGTGCTGGCAAGAAAGATAGATCGGCGTGCTTGATCGTGCGGCTTGGCTGTCTTAACTTGATCGGGGATGTCTGAAAGCCAGCGGGCCTGGAGGATGCATCGGGCGCCGCGGCCGTTTCTAGAGCGGCCCAGAGCGCTCTGAGAGTGCTCCAGGACGCTCTGGAGCAACCCGTCCCCCCCGTCCCCCCTTGGCAAGAAGAAACGAGTCCTGAGAGGCTTCCACCCCGGTGCCCAGGACCGGGGGGCGCTTTTTTGACAGCCACGGGGCCCACAAAAGGAAGGCCCTGGGAGCTCGAAAGCGGCCAGAAAGCTCTGGAGGAGGAGGAGGAGGAGGAGGAGGAGGAGGAGGAGGAGGAGGAGGGACCCGTGTCCCTCCGGGCTCCTCCTCTTCGTGGCGGGCCTGGAAGGGTGCGTCGGGCGCCAGGGCTGCCCCGGATCGGGTGCGCCGAAGATGGAGGCCAGGCAGCGCACTGTGGCCCCATGCAGGTGCGCAGGCTCCTTCTCCTCCTCCTCCTCCTCCTCCTCCCCTCCTCCTCCTCCTCCTCCTCCTCCTCCTCCTCCTCCTCCTCGAGGGGGGGGCCAGGGGGCGTGCTGGAGAAGAGTGTGGGGGGCCATGGGATCTGGGAGGTTTCATTGCCCCATGCCGCCCCAGAGCCCCGCCCCCGTGTCCAGGACGCCCTCGAACAAGAGCGCCCTGGAGCGATCTGGGGCGCTCTGAGAGTGACATGTCTCCACCTGGAGGGCAACGACAGGGGAGGGCCGGCTCAAGGGGGGAAGCGTCGGCCTGCAGTCAGCGGCACATCGCCGATGGATCGGTCATGGGCTCCCCACATCGAAGCCGCGCGTTCCTGAGCGGGGTGGGCTGTAAGGTCCCTTCTCGGCGATGGATGGGTGATTGGGGCTCCTCCGCCTTCCCCTCCTGCAGCTGCTGCTGCCCCCTGCCATGAAGAGGCATCCCCAATGCTCCACGCCTCTAGCACTGTCAGCTAAGCTGCCGAGAACGGGGCGAAGTGGTACCATCTGTGCGCCAAGAGGCGGTGATTTCTGAGAGGGGGGGATGAAATTAGCCATGCCATCCTGCTGCGCACCAGACGTGGGGGAAGAGTGGAATGGAGTGTGCAAGGCAAGTGTAGAGGGAGGCGTGCTAGGCCTAGCCGTGCCAGTAGATTGCCTGGGCTGGGTCGCGGGAAGAACCACAAGGGCTCCGCTCCCCTCAGGCCCTGAGGGCACTCCTCCAAGGAGTCCTTGCACACGGAGGAGGCAGAACACACACAGACACAGACACAGACACAGACACAGACACAAACACAGACACAAACCACACAGCACACAGCACACAGCACACAACACGCAAACCACACCACACAAGACACAAGACACAACACACAACACACAACACACATCGCACACCTCACACTACACACCACACAACGCACAACACACACACAGCACACAAAACGCAACAAACAACACAAAATACACAATACACAACACACAACGCACACCACACCGCACACAGCACACACCACACAACACACAAAACACACAACATACAACACACATTACACACAACACAGAACACACAACACACCACACACCACCCAACACAAAACACAAAACACAAGACACAGCACACAACACACAACACACAGCACACAGCACACAACACACAACAGAAAACGCACAGCACACAGCACACACTACACAATAAACAGCACGCACGACACACGACACACGACACACGACACACGACACAAC